AAATATTAGCTGTAGTTTTACTTTCTCCATATTTAATATTGTTTTGCCTCATCTTTTATTTGCTTATCATAATTGATTAAACGAGTGAAAGAAATGAAAGCACGGTATCACGACTTTTGCGCCGAGAACATTTGCGCCGCGACTTATGCGCCGCGACTTTTGCGCCGGGCGACTTTTGCGCCGCGACACTTGCGCCGCGACTTATGCGCCGGGCGACTTATGCGCCGCGACATTTGCGCCGCCATTATATAAAAAATCCGGATCCGAAAAAGGCCGGATATCCGAAATTTTCAGTTTGGATATCGAATCCGGATATCCGAAGATTTTCAACTATCCGACAACACTACTAAAGTGAGGTCCAGCTGTAGTTATCTATATATTTTTAATGATAGTGGCGGCGCAAAAGTCGCCCGGCGCAAAAGTCGCGGCGCAAATGTTCCCCGGCGCAAAAGTCGCTCGGCGCATAAGTCGCGGCGCAAAAGTCGCGGCGCAAGTGTCGCGGCGCAAATGTTCTCGGCGCAAAAGTCACGGAACCTGAAAGCACCAAAAATGAATGAAAATCAGAATTAAAAGAGGCCATGGAACATTGGAAAGGAAGGGTTGAGTGAACGTTTTTTATTAGAATTTTTTATCAATTTTTGTATTCCTCTTTTAAAAAAGACAACCGACGATGTGTATTGAGGGGGGGGAGGAGGGGAGGGGGGGGGTAAGAAAAAAAGTTGTTGGGGACATAGTAGGGCAATAAAATGTGTTTGTATGCAAATAAACACATATGCACATTCAAAGTACTTATACCATTTTAGCAAAAAATTGTTGGTAAAAATGATGGGAGGTATTAGAAATAAATTTATTTTGTAATGAGAAGGCGAAAACAAAGTTGATTCGTAAATGGAATGGGGCTAGAGGTGCTAGGCCGCACCGCAGAGGAACGATTGAATGTGTTAAATGTTTTTAGTAGCATGTTGACAGAAAAATAATAAGCCGAATGGCGCGAATAAATGTTTGGGTAAATAGAAGAGGCTAATTGAAGAATTTGATTTGGTAGTAGAAATTATTTATGCCGAAGAAGGAAATTTTTCGGCACAGAAGCTGTATTGTTCCAGAACCGTTGAACAGTAGAACCGACAAAAAGAACCGGAACGTCAGAACCGTTCGATTATAAGAACAGCAAAACGCTGATAATAAATCCAAAAATAACAGTAACTTTAATTTAATGATTTTAAGAGTTGATCTGATTTTTAGGCAAGAAGGACTTATGTTGAAAAATATTTCTATGAATATACATATTCTTTAAAAGATGCATAATTTTGCAAAATTAAAAATACTTTTCAACAAAATACAAAAACAAATAAAATAAATTACTAAAAAATAATGGGTATATTTATTTTTTTTGTTGCTTTACTAAGCAATTAAAAAATAAAAAATTGTCTCACGAGGGAATTTATTTGCCATAAATTGAAAGGCAAATCTAGAGGAAATATTTATGAGGTTTTTTAAAATAAAAATAAGAATTGTTGCGTTCTCAATAAAAATATTTAAAAAGAGATATTTAAATAGTTATTTTTATTGAGACTTGCGCAGATAAAGTTTAGGGGAAATAAAATTTAATTGTCAATTTGTTAGGCAGAAAGTTTTTTGAACATATTTTTAAATTCATAACTGCTCTTACAATTTCCCTACAAAAAAGGGGGTACTTCCGATTGAGAGGAGGCCTATTTTTGAACAACTCTTTAATATTAAAAGGTATTTTGTTAATTTTTCTCGTATTAGTTTATTTAAATTAAATTTTATTTTTTATTTCCTCAATTAAAATATATACCTAATTTGCTTTTAGATTATAAAAATGTGAAAAGAATTGATGAGTTTATAAAAGGAAAAGCCGGTAAAAGGTGTGACGATATATTTTGGAAGTGGCCAATGAATTATGCAAAAAGGGAATCAAAAAGGATTGAATTAAAAAATACGGGGACAAAAAATATTTTTTTAATAGGGACAGGTGCTTAGTTAAATTGCAAAAAGGTTTTAGTAGAAAAGAGTTAATTCCAAAAAAGTGCTTTTATTATATACCGAATAAATAAAAAAAGAAAATAAATTTTAAAAAATATTTAATAAATTGTGGGTAAATAATTAATAAAAAAATAAATTATTAGATAAGAGGTGTAAATTTATCACAGGTTTTTTTGTCAGTCGAAAATTTTGATAACTAATTGTGTTTATCATTTAATTTAAAAATTGTCCTTTAATTTTAGATAATTTTCTTAAAAATAAAACTCTTTAAAATAAATAAATGGTTTTATTTTTTCCAAATTCTAGGGGGTTAAAATATTTTTTAAAGTACTGTACCCCTGTTTTCCGTTGATTTTTGAGATTTGGGATCTCGATGAAGAAATAAGTTACGGACTTCGTTCTTTTTAATTTTCAACTCAGCATCGATGGAAATGTTCACAAAAATTTTTATAGAATTTTTGACCGAACAAAAGTCGATATTTCTAGTCTGGTCCTATCTTTTTTTCCACCCCAAAAATGGGGTAGTGTTTTTAAATATTTTTAGCAAAAATTTTGTCAGTAAATTATATTGATTTTCATACTCATTTTAAAGAGCATTTAAAGATCTACAATTTTTGTGCTGAAACTTTTTTTCTAAAAGTTAATCGAAAAGAGATAATCACTAAAAACTAATTTAACAGCCTCTGGTCCTATCTTTTTTTCCGGCACTGTACATGTTCTTGTGCTATTTATAAAATTGGAGAAATTTAAAAAAATTATATTTTTATTGTTTATTAGAAAAATAAATTAATAAATAATAAAACTAAAAAAATCTTGTGATAAATTCTGGGAATTACCTATAATTTAAAAAATATTAAATTGAATAAAATAATGGAATTTTCTATTCTGAAATTAAGGAATAAATTAAAGAATTAAAAATTATTTTATTTTAATTAATTCCATTGCTCAAAAATTTTTATGAAATAAAAATTCGAGAATAAATGTGAAATTTATTTTTAAAATTCTTTTAAACTGATTGTGTCGATATGCTAATTTTAAGCTCAAATATAATTGAAAATATTTTCATTAAAAAATTATAGAAAACCCAAAATACAAAAAAAAATTTAAAAACCAGTTTCTTATTTTAAATTTTTTTAAAAATTTATTTTCCATTTTTTGGTCCATTCCCGCATCACAAAGAGAAAAATGAGGGAGATTATTCTTGCCCGCTCCATCGACTTTGAGAGGGAGTGAAAAAAGGTATTAGCGTGAGTGGAAGTGACAGTGGCTCAGCAGATTTTGATGGGCATCACATGAATATTTTTGGTAATAAAAAAATTGTGAAAAAAATAAAAATTGATTGGAAATGTTTTTTGGAAATTTTGAATATTTATAAAATAAAACTTTAAGGTATTAAACACAATTCAGAGTTATTTTGACTTTGGAAGATATTATTCATTATAAGCTATCTGACATTTGGACCAACACTTGTAGGGCCAATTTTAACAAAACAAAACACTCTCCAAAAGAATCTCCTTCTCTACAACTCCTCTAGAATGAGCTCTATCTGAGAAAATACTGTGAATAATATAAAAGTTGATTAACGCAATTATATTTTTGAGAAAATAAATGGATTAAAGAAAGTCAAAATAAGCTCTATATATTAATAAAAATATTGTCTCAAAAGTAATTAGTGAAAAATAATATGAAAAAAATTTTTGAGGAAAGGTAAGCTTTAAATAAATCTGGATAATTATGCGAAAAACGTAAAAGAAAAGAGAATGATTAAAAAATATCAATTATAAAAAAATTAAATAAAAGTATGAGAACTTGGAAGAAGATTGAAAAAAAATTCTAGAATATTTTTAAAAGTAAAGAGATTTTATTAAAAAATATTTTTGTATTTTGTTTATGTAGTGGTGATCCCAAAATTATTTTTTCTGATCAAAAATCTATAGCAAACAATTTTTTAAATATTTATTTTTTTTGTTTTTATCAAGAAAAGGTAAATAAAAATAAAAGAAAAAATATTTACACAATGAGAAAAAAAGGTAGTTGAAGATGAAATCTCTGTGTTTGCCAATAACTTTTGTAAAAATAAAAAATTTCTCTATTTAATTCTACAATCATTTGCTTTTCTAAAAGTGACTTTTTAAAGGCAGATTCTTTTATTTTATAAATAGTTACTAGCTAGTTTTTTGAAAATAAAAATTTTTTGTTAAATGATTTGTTAAATAAAATTAAATAAATAAGAATAACATTTACGTAATTGTTTAAAGTAGTTGGAAAGAAATATTTACCTACTCTATCTACTAAATAAAAATTAAGAAACTAAATATGTATGTATGTACAAGTTTGTGTAAAAATAAAAAAGGAAAGGTTACCTAAAGAAAAAATAAAGAAATGGCATTTATCCAAAGATTTATTTTTCTAAAAATAATTTGAATAAAATAAAAAATAAAAGAAAAATCAAATAAAAAACAAATGTCTCTTTAAGTTGGAAATTTACAATAAATATATACAAAATATTTTATATTTATATTAAAAGGGGATAAGTCGCTCTAAATCAATGGATTTATGCGCAGAACAGATGTGTTAAGAGAATGTTAAATAAAAAGAAGAAAAAATTTGTTTTAAAAAAATATTTATTTTCTTAATGTGAAATAAAAATTCTGAAATTTTTAATAGTAAATAAGTCTGAAAAATTTTCCAAGAATTTAGCTAATTTTTTTGGTTTAGGTGGTACTTTTAAAAACAGGAAAGGATCAAATATGTATTGTCGGTTACAAACCGAACCTAACCTGAAACAATAAAATAGGAAAAGGTCAGAAATCTAATTTAAAAATTAAAAAAAAAGATCAAAAAAATTTTCTAAAATTTTATTTTTAACTTATTATCTTTTGCTTTGTTTTGTGTGTTTTCGTTTAGTTGTTCTTTATATAGAAACAATTTATTAGAACAAATAAAAATAAATTTAAAGAAGAAATTACGCGAAACATTCAATGGATAAAAAAGAAAATGTTTGAGAAGAACACAAAAATTTTTTTTCAAAATTGGCCAGCAAAAATTGAGGGAAAGAGGGGGAGAAAAACACACAAAAATATTCATTCCTTTCCCTCTCCGCTTGTTTTTCCGGTTTTTATTCTCATCCCCTCTAAATACATTAATTCCCTCATTTTTGAGACATCTTTGGCCTATTTTTGTTTTATTTATTTGGTTTTGGTTAGGCCATTGTTGTGCTTTTTGGTTTGTTTTTAGTTTGTTCTGTGACTTGTCTTTCTTCTAAAAAAAGCGTTCTACTAATTCTGTCATGCAAATAAATTGTTTGAAAATTGGTTTTTTATGTATTTTTGATTGAAAACTATTTTTAGTAATTATTTGTTAACGATATTATATAAATATATTTTGGTGTTAGAAAAGTTTAGGGTTGGTGATTAAAAATGTATTAAAATTATCCAAATCGAGAAAGATAGGTGGAGAAGTTTTTTTGTAGAGAAATTGAGTTTTAAATCAGAGGGTTTACCAAAATAATAATAATAAAGTAAAGTATTTTAGCTTTTACTAAAAATAAATTTAAATAAAAACAGAAAATGAAGATAAAGCAAATATTTATAGAATTTCTTATAAAAGTGCCGAAAAGTTTTGTTTTTGCATAAGAAAAAAGGAAGGAGAAGGAAATTGAGAAAATAGACACTTATCTCATCATTAAAAAGAAGGAAGGAAGTTTAGCAGCTTTTTTGTTAGCAGCCACTTTTTTTTGGTTATTTTATGGCCAAATAAGTAAAAGATTTGCCGTCTTTAGGCAAACAAAAAAAAGATTTTTTGTTAAGGTTTTATTAAAGTTTTTATTTTACTTGAAAAAAAAAGTTTTTTGGGGGGTATATATCTTATTTCTTTTAAATAAAATGATGAATGGGACAAGAAATGGAAGGTGGAGGGAGGTTCTTTTTTGGTGTTGCAAGCAAATAAATGCAATGAATGCGCTGCGTGTTTGATTGATGGAAAATTGAAGAAAAAATGTTTGCTGTCCATTTTTGGATATATTTACTCATTATTTTAGGGCTTTTTTTGGATATTAATATTAGTATTTTAGTAATTTTTACGTTATTTTGTCATTAAGAAAGGGGAAATAGAAAGGAAGGGTAGAATGAAAAAATTTCCAAGACTTTTTAGATTAAACACTCAAATATCCTTCATTTAGGATTTTTTATTTATTTTTAAACAAAATCTCTACAAGTTCACTGAAAAGAAAAATCTGGCTTTAAGTCAGAAGTAAACTGATCATTGTTTAATTATCAGTTTTGCATCTTTTGTCAGGCCTTTGTGCCAAATGTAAACACAAACGAGTTTTTAACTAAATTTATAATTTTTTCCAAAAATTTCAAATAATTCATTGATTAATTTAACAAAAACTGGAGAGGAAAATATTAAAAAAAGGCCTTATGAAGTAAAAAATACAAGTAGAGACTCTCCACTTCCGCATTATCTACACTAATTCCCCTTCAATTTACAATAATTCCACTTGTCTAAAAATATTGTTTTTGATTTGATAGGATTTTCGGAGTAATATTTATATAAATAAATTGTTGAATATACGCGCACTCTACTCATAAATATTTAATATATACAGAGTTACTACTTAAATATTTAATTCGATTAACGGCGAATCATTCGATTAAAAATAAATAAAAATTAATTATCGGATTAATTAATTACGCAATTATTTTTATTAAACAAAAACTAAATGTTTATTAAAAATAATAATGAAGAAAATGTGAAATTTTATAAAATTAATTATTGTAAAAATTAAAAGCATTATGTAAGACTTTACTCAATTACAATTAATTAGCTAAGTTTGTAACGATTTGTAAACTTTAGGAGAATTAAGAAAGAGGAATACTACTAAAACTTAGGGCGATAAACACATAGTACAAAAGGATATTTTAAGTAAATTTTTGATTTGATTATTACGATTCTGAGTTAAAAGAATTAAATTTAGATTCAAAACGATATTAAGTGATTTAAAAAAATTTTAATTAAGAAAGAGGATAAAACTGTTTGAAACATCCTCAGTTTTCGATATATTCCTTTACTGGGAAGTTTAGTGATCAGAAATTAAAAGAAAGAGAGTAATGACAAAAACTTAATTTCAATTCTGATATTGAAAAGAATAAAAATAAATTTTCCTTTTTTAAATAAAACAAAAAAAATAAAAAAAGAGAAAATAAATTGAATAAATTTATTAAAAAAAAGATAACATATAATTGTTGTAATATTGACCGGCTGACTGACCACGACCCGAATTTACTATTTATGTGTAAATTTGTGTAAGGGGGAAAATATAAAAATAAAAATTTGATAGAAAGAGAACAACACAAAAATTGTCGGCTTGACAGCTTTACTACAATGCGCGCAATTCGGCTTTGTTTGTTTGTAAGAGGAGAGCATCTTCGAGGAGAAGAATCGCTAGGTTTTCACCATCTTTTCTTTCAACACATTTCCTTCCTATTGTAATAAAATTGAAGAGAAATTTTAAAATAAAAGAGAAGGAACGAATAAATAATAAAAGTATGTATGTAAAGGTTAAATAAATTTAAGAAAGTTTTTATGTAAAACAAAAATTTTTAAATTAGCTAATTAAAATTTTAAAAAGAAAAATTTTTTAGTCATTATTTGTAATTTTAATGGCAGAGTACCTAGGCCCTTCCTTTTTTATAATCTAAAATCACTACAAAAATAAAAGTCAAATCAGAAACGAATTTGGGTACTTATCGGTTATACGCCTACAAAATGAGTGCCAACCGAATTTAATCTTTAACTATTTTTGTTTGATCCAATTCAAATGTATCTTATATCATTCGAGGGCACCCAATAAGTGGGGCCTTTTTTCAACTTAATGGACCAAGTTTGATCCCTCGTTAGATAACCCGATAAATGTATAACCCAATAATGTATAACCCGATAAATGTAAAAAACACCAAATAACTTTTTGATGAGTGATTAGACTTGATCTTTCTTATAAAAAAGGTACCGCCTATTGAGGTTTTCGAATGATATAAAATTTATTTGAATTGGATCAAATATCAAAAAGTTAGAGCCTATCAAATTCGGCTTGCATGCAATTTGTGGGCGTATAACCGATAAGTACCCGAATTTTCAAAACATATTTGAAAATCTGTCTGAATATTACTACTAACAGAAATTTTTCATTTCAAGACCTGTTAAATGTCAGCGCCTACATATCAGCAAGCTAATAAAGCAAAGCCTTAAAAAGACAAAATTTTAGCGCCTTTTTTCAATATTTTCCCGCCTCAAATGCTAATAAATAAATAAAATTCCCAAAGGGAATTTTATTTGATCTTTCCAATTTATTTTATTCCAATCAAACAGTTGCAATTTTCTTTCCGTTCTAATTTCAATTCTTGTGGGTATTTGCCGACAGTTTTTAGTGCTGACAAGCATTTCTATAAATCATAAAAGAAAGAGCAATAGCGGTTTAAAAGAATAAAGAAGCTTTAAAGATATCCAAGGCAATAAAGCGGCAAATGCGCAAAAACAATATAGAAATAAAATAGGCACAAATAAGGGTAGAAGGTCGTTCAAAAATGGCAGTGCTAAGATGTCCATCCCTTTGGGAAAAGCTAAGAATGAAATAAATATTTTTTTTCTTTTAAATTAAGCCTCTCCTATTTAAATATTCTCTTCAAAAATTTTATTTTTTACGATATAAAAATATTTGTTTTTATTTCAATAAATTAACTGAAAGATAATAAAAAAAATGTTTAAAAATTCACATAAATATAGAAAAATTTTTTCAATTTTTTGTTAGATATTTTTATAATACTAATTAAAAATAATAAAAAAATCCTCTATATATTAGCTAAAAATTATAGAATTAAAAAAGTAAATGAGTATTTTTTATATTTTCAACAGATTTTTAATTGGCGATAAGCCTGCTATTTTACTAAAAAAGCAAAAACAGTTTGGTCAGCATGTGCGCGTAAAATGTGTTGTAAAGTCCATTCATTGGATGGACTTTATAGTCAATCCGGGCAAAATAATATTAAAAAAAGGCAAATGGGTGGAAGGAAAATTATGAGAAGGAAAAGCAACAGAAGAAGCAGCTGAATTAATGGCTAACAGAAAGGATTGTGAAGGCTATTGCTTGATAATAATAATTTTAATGATGATGGTGTCGGCTATGGAACGGATTATAGCAATCCTCTAAAAGTCAAGAAAATAAAAATTTTTAGTTATATGTATATTCCTAAAATATAAAGATTTGCTTAGAATTTTTTGTTGCTATTTTGAATTTCAAATTGGTTTGGCGTCAGTGTGTATTCTCATACTTAAACCATTTTAATTTAAAATGTGTTAGAGTTAAAATTTTTGATAAAAAACTCAAAACTAACTCATTTTTAATAGACCATAATATTAGTCTCATTTGAGAAAAATATTAATGAGGTATACAATATTTGGTCAGTTGTATCAGTAAAATGGAAATAGCTATACATTAATACATATTTCGGCCACTTTATAAAAAATGTGATCAAATAAAAATTTTATATAATAAAAAGACTTTCTGTACGATTGTACAGATCTACACCTATTCTCTATATATTATTTTATAACTAAAGGTGGATCTCACTTGAAAGTCACTTTCACGTTAAAATCAAATATTATTAAGCAAATTCTTTATCCAGATTTGTATGACACTGTATTTAAAATTTTCCCGCAAGAAATTGTGGCCTATTTACAAGTGAGATCTAATTTTATTGGAATTAGTTACTTATTGTTAGTGTGGAAATATGAATAAATTTATTATTAAAACAAACTTAGAATAGATATCTAGTATAAATTAAGTTAAATGATAATAAAGAGATTATACTACTAAATAAAAATTAAAATTATTTTTTTAATATTATTATTATTTATTATTTTTGTATTATTTTTGTTTTTTTTGCAATAACAACTAATAAGGAAATAAAATATCCCTTTTAGTTATTTATTCAGCATTTGTTTCCATTTTAGCTTTTATCAAATATGTAAAATGTAAAGAAAATTTATTAGAGGCATGCATCCAATTACTATTTAGTAAGTATTATGTACAATTAAGCAAATGAGAAAGCAATTTTCTTTTATTTTTTTAGTAAAATATATTCGAGGTATTTATTTTTTTATATTTTTGTTTTTATTTTTTATCATTAATTTTGGCAATAAAAAATTTTTGGATTATTTATTGCCTTTAGTTTTTACAAATTATGCAGATAATAATATG